TACTATCTTCCATCATGGAAATCTCCCTCTGAAGAGAAGAGTTGGAAAAAAAGGGTTTATTTTCTGTGAAAGTGACTTCTGCAGAGATGTAAAATTTTCTGGTAGAGGGGTTGTAACATTTATATCCCTTTTGAGTGGAAGAATAACCCAGGAAAACACATTTGATGGCTCTGGGATCTAGCTTCCCTCTATGTTGTTTGTGGACATGAACAAAGGCAGTATACCCAAATACCCTGGCAGTGAGGCCATTTGAGGTTCTAAAGTGAGGGTAGAAGCTATTTAGGACCTCTATGGGGCTTTTATTTTCTAACACACGGGAGGGAAGTCTATTGATCATATATGTGGCAGTACGAATGACTTCTCCCTAATAGGACTTAGGAACATTCCCTTGAAATAGTAAGGCTCGGGTGGTGTTGAGTAAATGCCCATTCTTTCTTTCAGCTACACCACTTTGTTGTGGTGTGTCTACACATGAAGAGTTATGGATAATCCCCTGTGATTGAAAGTAAGGTGATAGAATTTGATTGAAGTAGTCTCTAGCATTGTCTGTCCTAAAGCATTTTATTTTGACCCCAAATTGATTTTGAACCATTGAATGAAAATTAGGTATAACAGTGCTAACATCAGATTTTTGTTTAAGAAGGAAGAGCCATGTAACCCAGGTGCAATCTTCAATTAAGGATATAAATTAACGAGCCCCAGAAACATTAGGTATATTGGAAGGACCCCATATGTCACTATGAATCAGATGAAAAAGATGAGAACTTCATTTATTGGTAATAGGAAAAGATACGCGGATATGTTTTGCCAATTCACAAATGTCACAATGAAACTCAAAAATATCTAATCCTTGGAATAAATAAGGAAACATTATATTTAGAACCCCAAAAGAGAGATGACCAAGACGTAAGTGATACAACCAAATGACATCTTTGTTCGAGGAACTAAGGAAAGATGAAGACAAATTGCTCCTAATTTTATGGGATGGTTCAAGGTGGTAAAGACCGCTCCTTTCCTTAGCAAGTCCAATCTTCATTCTCGAGTCCTGTTCCTGAAAAACACAATAAGAAGGGAAAAAAACAGCATAACATTTGAGATCATGAGTCAGTTTTTGGATGGACACAAGGTTTGTTGACAGTTTGGGTACATGAAAAACGTTTTTAAGGATAATGCTAGGTGTGATATGTATATCGCCAATACCTGCAACGGTAGCTAAAGAGCCATTGACCATGATAATTTTTCTATTACTTGGACAGAGGTATAGGCGTGAAAAAGTTGAGATGTGGGGTCATATGGTCAGTAGCACCAGAGTCTATAATCCAAGAATCGGTATAGAATTTGTCTAAGACATTCATGCAAACAATTTTACCTGAAAGAGCTATCGAACATGCTCCAAAAGGCTTCTCAAGAGATCCCAACAAGCTTCTCAATTTCTCAATTTCTTCACTGCTGAACCCCTCTATTGTTGGATTTTCCTCAAT